AGAAGAACTTCCTTTTATTTGTTTTAACCCCCCTGCCCATTAGTTTCATTTGGTGGCCCCTAGTTCTTATATTATGGGAACAAGTAAATAACTTTTCCTTATTCGCTTTCTCCACACCTCTCATGATTTTATAGACCTCTATCCTATCCCCCCTCAGTCTCCTCTTTTCCAAGCTGAAAAGTCCCAGTCGCTTTAATCTCTCCTCATATGGGACCCATTCCGAACCCCTAATCATTTGAGTTGCCCTTCTCTGAAGCTTTTTGATGCCTATTGAGGAAAGAAAGGTGAGCATACGGGGCTATCTACAGACCACAAGATCTCTCCGAGGTTCTCTTTAGTGCAGCCTTGAACAGCCATTGCCCTCTGTGTTACCTTCTGTGTTGTTCAGTGCTCCCTACTGATTGATGAGTTCCAAATGTGACTTTGATTAGCTATCCAATCTTGACGAGCAGCGGCTAGCTATAAAAAGCAATTTCTGGCTGGCATTAAGTGGCTGGGGAGCAGAGTGAAACACTCATTTTTTAAAAACTGAGATGCAGACGGTATTAGTAAGAAAATTCTGTCACAAGTGCTATGTCTGTGCAAGTATGATGACTGGCAGAGAGAGGGAAGTATCTTGTTCTCAGAGATCTCCAAAGCCCAATGCTGCAGTTAAGTAGGGATGGACAAAACTATTTGAAAGATGTGAGAGCCTCTCCATAGCACAGAAAAAACCCTTAGGGAGTCTAGTATTAATGTTGTTGTCATCTTTATTATTTGTCTTACCATCATGCCGAGGACAATAGTCATAGCCCAGCACTATACAAACACTTCAAAAAGATGGTCCCTTCCCCAAAGGACTTGCCATCTAAGTATAAGACAAGAGATGGATACAGGGGCACAAGGGGACAGCGAGATACTGCTTAGCATGGCGGGCAGTGGCTTCTTTTTTCTGTTTTCAAGTTTTTTGGTAGGCATCGCAGTCCAGGAGAGCGTTGAAGGAGGGCAATGAGGTAGTTTTGCAGAGATTTATGGAGAGCGTGAGGGGCAGCATGGGAGAAAGGACAAAGGTGCTTGTGTAACCCACACACTTAGTGTGGTTCACTGTCCCATGCAGTGGCACCTAGACCCCAGCAACAGCTAAGAGCTAGAGACCACTAAAGCATGGGCTGGGTGCCACCTGGCTTTTAGTGCAAAGAATGGAGGCTCCTATACAAAGCGCCAGAGGTCCCAGGTTCAACTCTACTGGGTGGCGGTTACACTTATTTGAATATTTAACACAGGAGGGGGGAATCTTTTGGGGTCAGGGGTCACTGATCCACTGAAAAAATCAGTTGGTGTTTGCACGCAAGCAGGGGAGGAATTGGATTGCCAACGCGGGCTCCCCAACACTAGGGGATCCTGAGCTTTGGGGGGGCTGGATCCAGGCAAGTTGGGGGCCACATCCAGCCCCCAGACCTAAGGTTCCCCACCCCTGACTTAACAAGGGAGGGAGGCATCATGGATTGATGGGAGGTGAGAGTCCGTCTCACGATAGCGAATGAGCTCCCTCCTTTCTCCCTCCTCCTTATGACACCCTTTTAGATACCTGAAAACTGCTATCATGTCCCCTCTCAATCTTCTCTTTTCTAAACTAAACAAGCCCAATTCTTTCAGTCTTCCTTCATAGGTCATGTTCTCTACATCTTTAATCTTTCTTGTTGCTCTTCTCTGGACCTTCTCCAATTTCTCCACATCTTTCTTGAAATGTGGTTCCCAGAACCAGACACAATCCTCCAACTGAGGCCTAATCAGTGCAGAATAGAACAGAAGAATGACTTCTTGTGTCTTGCTCGCAACACACCTGTTAATGTATCCTAGAATCATGTTTGCTTTCTTTGCAACAGCGCCACACTGTTGATTCATATTTAGTTTGTGGTCCACTATAACCCCTAGATCCCTTTCTGCCGTACTCCTTCCTAGACAGTCGCTTCCTATTCTATATGTGTGGAGCACTTTACATTTGTCCTTATTAAACGTCATCCTATTTACCTCAGACCATTACTCCAATTTGTCCAGATCATTTTGAATGATGACCCTATCCTCCAAAGTAGTTGCAACCCCTTCAAGCTTGGTATCATCTGCAAACTTAATAAGTGTACTTTCTATGCCGATATCTAAATCGTTGATGAAGATATTGAACAGAACCGGTCCCAAAACAGAACCCTGCGGAACTTCACTTGTTACTCCTTTCCAGGGAGGGTGGGGATTGGCTGTGATGGGGGATGAAGGTGAAGACATATAACTTATGGCTGATGCTATAGAGAAGAGGGAGTCCGTGAAGGGGGGGGAATGACCAGAATGAGGGGGCTAGGTACATTATCTTTACAGCAGCCTTCTGAATGGATGTAAACGGGGCAAAATGGAATTTATCAAAGCCCGAGAGAAAGGCGAGCTGAAGAGAGTTTTAGCTGTGTGGATGGCCGAGAAGTGACCAAGGGCTAGTGATGCCGTGCAGACAAAACTGGCAAGGTTCTGACTGGATATGAGCTTCTGGGACTGAGATTTGAGATGAAGACGCTGCCCAGGTTCTGGCCTGAGCGATAGCCAGGATGGTGGTGGTGGAGTCCACAGTGATCAAGAAAAAAGGCAGTGGGGAGAGTTTGATGGGGGAGGGGAAGATTCTGGACTCTCTTTTAACCATTTCTCTGACTGTTCGATATCCACAAGGAGGCGTCAGAGAAACCAGTGTGGGCAGGACGAGGCAGGCCTGGAAGGACTCTGTGCGTTGTCTCAGAGATAAGGGGTGGAGGAAGTATAGAAGGGGACCAAGGACAGAGCCCTGTTGAAACACCATGGAAAGTTGTAGGCAGATGAGGTAGCTCCTCTGAAGGATACGCTGCAGGAGCAACTGGAGAGACAGGAGGCAAAGCAGGAGAGGACAGAGTCATGGAAGCCAGGGGAGGGCAAGCTTTGAAGTTGGCCATATTGGAGGTGACTAGTCATGGAGGATGGAGTACTGGCTCCGAGCTGTGGCTTCTGAAGGTGTCATGGAGATACTTTGGCGGGAGCAGTTTCAGGGGAGCGCCAGGCCTGGAAGCCGGACTGGAGGGGATCTAGGATGGAAATGAAGGAGCAGAGCTCCAGAAAGCTGTGGAAAAGAGCGTGTTCAGTGAGTTTAGAGATGCAGGAGAGAAGAAAGGCAGGAGGAATGGGACTGAAGGCAGATATGATCCCCGTGCGAAAGGCAACAGCCAGGGGAGAAGGAGAGGTTAAGGAGGAGAGGAAGGGAGGGGATATGAGTAGGTGCTGTAGAGGTCCGGAGATGGGATGGGGTGTCTGGGGCATAGAGAAGGAGAACCGATGAGAAACTTCATCTGTCTCAGGATAGACGGAAGCGAGAGTTGTTGATAAACTCTGCAGACAGTTGCTTGACCACACTTTGGTTCAGTATGAAATATAGTCAAGAGCCACTGTCATTCATTTTTATGATTAAAAACCAATAATAGTGTAGTAGAGGAATGAAGATTCAATATGACACCAGTTCCTGGGAAGCTGCCTTGGGCAGTGTTGTTAAATTCACCTTCCCTCTATTTTTTCCATCTATGTGTGGAATACATTTTGTTATGTGCCCCAAGGCAAGTGCAGATGTGCACTACCCATACAAACACATGCTGATGGCTGTGGGTATTCTACTAATCAGATGGGTGGTATCTGAATCTCTTCTGAGTGGCTACCCAAGTGCTCAGTTTTTAAGGAACACTACTTATGAAGAAGGAGTGCTGTCAAAGTTACATTCCTAAAGCTATCCTTTTTATGCTCATGTTTTTAAAAGTAAAAAGGGACTGGTGTACATCACCTGGATTTAGATTTAACCAGTCAGCTTCTGACTTTGTTTGTCTACCCCTTATCTCTTTTTTTGGAATGTGCATCCCAGGTACCCAGGGGCATGGTGGCACCTTTTCACGATTGGGGGAGTTGGACCAGGGAAGCAGGATAAATGAAGTGTCCAGGAAAGGTACAGCTATGGGGTCAGAAATGTTGGTAAGGTAGACAGAGAGTCAGTGTGGTGGCAAATATCCCCAGAGCTGTAGGGGAGGAGTCAGAGAACGATGTGGATCTGAGCTCTGGATTTGTACTGGTGGCAAGGATGGAGTGGGAAAGATGAGCATGTAGAGTTGGTGGGACCTGAAAAAAGGTGAGGGTCCCTAGGATGGAAAGATAGGGTCAGTGGGAGGGGGTGGGGCAGAAGAGGACAGACGCGCTGACGCACAAGAGGGGTGTGGTGAGGAGTGGCAGATGGACGAGGTTACAATACACCAGAACTGGAGACCTGCAGAATGCTCTGGTGGTGACCCTTGCAGCAGGACCTCAGGAAAAGGTCTCTTTTGTGGTACTTTTGGCCAGACCAGAAGTAGGGGCTCTAAGCGACCTTCCAAGAAGTCTCTGCCCCGAGTATCGCCTGAGTTATGGAGAGAGTTTGGGTGAAGTACCAGGAACAATCTAAACCTCCCCAGTTACTGAGGTTCATCCATTGGTAGGGAATCCAAAGGCCTGGTCCTACACTTGCTGAAGGACTCCATTTGAGTTCAGCGGGTGCAGGGTCAGGCCTGAGTTAGTCTCAGTGAGTTCACAGCCATGGTGCCTCTATCTGGCTCAGGGCTACGGAGAACATCTTAACAGGGGCTGCACTTCTAACAGCCCCATCACTGTGGGGTGAATCCAGCCCTACACGTGTCATTTTGTCTAGGCCGATGTTGTTTGCAATGAAAACAAATGGGCAAGGATCCCTGTGTACCTGTAAATAGCGGGGCTGTCCGGGAAAGCACGTCATTTAACTGGTGTTCGAATATTCTATCAAGCTTTTATTAATAACTAAACCTCTGTTCCAGCTGCAACAACTCACCGTTTGGGTCACTGGGGTACTGCCGCGGCTGTCCTGCTGCCCACTGAGCGGGTGGCCTGCATTATTAAAAGGTCTAGTTTAAATACAATATAACCGAGTACAGCGTGTGCAGTAAGTTTCTGTCAACTCCTTGCAGAGGCACGTTGCTGGCGTTGACGTCCGCCTGACGTGGTCACCCATCTTCCGGACCCCTCTGTCTCATCTGCTGGATGGGGCTGGTTAGAGAACATGGGGAGAAGCAGACAAAGTGCGAAGATGATCAAGCGGGAGAGTCTCCCAGAGGAACGGAGAAGATCTCAGAGCCTCTGCAGAGAAGCAGGCAATCGGCAGTCTCTGTCTGGCAAGTCTCCAATCACAGACTATTCCATGCATGGGCAGTGGGTATAACAGGTTAAGCCTTCGCTAACCCAGGTCCTTTCCTGGCTGATGCTCCACCCTTGCCCTCCAGCTGTTGGGAGCTGATCTCCAGCTGGAGGCCTGGGTCTGGAGACGCCCCTGCACTGGAGGGCGGGGGAAGGGAGGGCTGGTGCTGATGCCAGCCTGCTTAGGGCACTTTGGCCGGGGGCTCTTCCGGCTGCAGGGGAGGATGGGGACCATGGGGGTGAGGTGGGGCCGTGTGGCCAGCCTTCCAGAAGAGGAGGCCTATGTGTCTTCCATGAAGTAATGCTAGCTTTCCTGCTTACAAAAGGCAATCAATGTGTTGTGAGAATAACAGCGGGGGAGGAGGGAAATTGGTATTGGTTATGGGCTCAGCCTAGTTTCCAGGACTGAGTTCCCTACTCTTGGGTGGTGGTTGAACACAAACCTTCCAGCTCTGGGTTGTTGCTTTTTCCTGCTCAAGCATTGCTTCTCCTGCAATGATGATGCATTATGATAAGGCAGGAGGGGGCAGGCTGGATGCAATCACCATGGTTAGCCCCAGACAGGCCACTAGCATTTGATTTACCTCAGTGTCCACAGGTACGGCTGCTTGCAGCTCCCATTGGCCGCAGATTGCCATTTCCAGCCAATGGGAGCTGCGAGAAGCAGGGTGTTGGTCTGAGCTGCTTCCTGCAGCTCCCATTGGCCGCAGATTGCCATTTCCAGCCAATGGGAGCTGCGAGAAGCAGGGTGTTGGTCTGAGCTGCTTCCTGCAGCTCCCATTGGCCAGGAACAATGATCCACAGCCAATGAGAGCTGCAAGAAGCTGGACATGTAGATGAATAAAGGGCCAGCGACCCGCCAGGGTTAACCAGGGTAAACTGCCTCCAGTTTATTGCCCACCCGTGTTATAGGGAATTACCCTGGGAAGCAGATAGGAAGGTGGCTGAGGATAATGCTGAGGATTGGTTCTGGAGATAACAGTAGCTATGTCTGAAAGTTGAATACAGGCAGTCCCCGACTTACGCGGATCCAACTTACGTTGGATCCGCACTTACGAACGGGGCTGTGGCCCCGGAGCTCACAGGCAGCGGTCAGCCACCTGGACCTCCGGGGCGAGAAAAGCTGCTCCCGGTGCCCCTGGTCTGCTGGGGACCGTCTCCAGCAAACCAGGGGCACCGGGAGCAAAGCGGTCCCGCGCCAGAGCAAAGCCTCAGAGGCGAGGCACCCCCCGCTGCCGCTTTGCTCCCTGTGTCCCTGGGCTGCTGGGGGGGGGGGCACAGCTAGTGTGCCCCCTCCCCAGCAGACCAGGCTTTTGTTGTGGACCCTGGGCCAGAGCAGCTGGGGCGCTGCCGGTTGGTCCCGCAGCGCCGCTCTGGGCACTACTGGACCAACCTGGCGGCACTACTGGACCAACCTGGTCAGTTTCAGCAGCGGCTGACTCAGGACGCCTGGGGCAAAGCAGCTGGGGTGCTGCTGGGTTGCTCCAGTAGCACCGCTCCTCGGCGCTACTGGACCAACCCAGCGGCACCCCAGCTGCTTTGCCCCAGGCGTCCTGAGTCAGCCGCTGCTGAAACTGACCGCCAGTTCTGACTTACATACAGATTCAACTTAAGAACCCCAAGTCAGCTGCTGCTGAAACTGACCGCCAGTTCTGACTTACATACAGATTCAACTTAAGAACCCCAAGTCAGCTGCTGCTGAAACTGACCGCCAGTTCTGACTTACATACAGATTCAACTTAAGAACAAACCTACAGTCCCTATCTTGTACGTAACCCTGGGACTGCCTGTATGTTCTGGATGACTGAGTGATGGCAGGGGATGGTACAGAGGGTTTGATTGGGCAGGGACTGGTGGGAACTTGCTCATATACAGTTTGGATTAACATAAATCACAGTGTTCTTCCCCCTGTAGTAGCAATTTTCTTCCGACTGTAATATTACAATACAACTGATGCTGATGAGCTTTAATCAGACTCTTCTTCTTCCGTGGCGTGTCCGTGAGTGGATGTTTGCAGCGAGGGCAGTCCATTCTGTGTGGTGCTCTGGCGATCCCTTTGTGGATGAACAGTTCTGTTATTCCACCCAACACACTAAGCTTTTCTTCTTCTGCCTTGTGTTCCTTGTCATCCATGTTTCCTTCCAGCACCCATAAACACACTTTACCAGCTGAACCTCTGAAAATACACCTGCAAATTGAATCTTTCTGTTTATTAAACCCCTGACTGGCGTTTGCGCAGTTCCAGTCTGCCTCCAGTAATTTTCCATTGATCACACAGTCTATCCATGAGATTTTCAGAATGATTCTGCAACACCATAATTTGAAGGATTATAATTTCTGTATTATCAACTGTTTGAGTGCCCCTATTTCACAGCCATAATTTGACACAGATTGTAGGTAAGTTTTGAAGAATCAAATTTTGTTTACTGATTGTCTCCCTTGTCTGTTGTGCTCTTGCGATTCTGACGCTACTTCAGTATCTTCCCAGGCAGCAATAATCATAGAATCTTAGAACACTAGAACTGGGAGGGACCTTGAGAGGTCATTGAATGCTCTCACGGCAGGACCAAGCACTGTCTAGATCAGTGTTTCTTAAACTGTGTGCCGCGAGGCAGTCGGAGGAGTGCCGCAGAGAACAACAGAGTTAAAAATGGCCACCCTTAAAGGGGCAGGTGACCCTCCCCCCCCAATAACTTTCCTCCTGACCACCCCCTTTTTTTTTTCTCAACAAAAAATCCTTGGGGTTCCTCATTAAAAAAAAAAGTATTGTTTGGTGTTCCTCGGTCTTAAAACGTTTAAGAAACACTGGTCTAGATCATCCCTGACAGGTGTGTGTCTAACTTGCTCTTAAATGTCTCCAGTGACGGAGATTCCACAATCCCCCTAGGCAATTTATTCCAGTTTTTAAACACTCTGACAGGTAGGAAGTTTTTCCTAATGTCCAACCTAAACCTCCCTTGCTGCAGTTTAAGCCCATTGCTTCTTGTCCTATCTTCAAAGTCCAAGGAGAACAATTTTTCTCCCTCCCCTTTTGGATACTTGAAAATTGCTATCATGTCCCCCCTCAATCTTCTCTTTTCTAAACTAAACAGACCCAGTTCTTTCAGCCTTCCCTCATAGGTCATGTTCTCTAGACCTTTAATCATTCTTGTTGCTCTTCTCTGGCCCTTCTCCAATTTCTCCACATCTTTCTTGAAATGTGGTACCCAGAACGGGACACAAATACTCCAATTGAGGCCTAATCAGTGCAGAGCAGAGTGGAAGAATGACTTCTTGTGTCTTGTTCATAACACTTCTGTTAATGCATCCCAGAATCATGTTTGCTTTTTTTGCAACAGTGTCACACTGTTGACGCATGTTTAACTTGTCATCCACTATGACCCCTAAATCCCTTTCTGCCATACTCCTTCCTAGACAGTCGCTTCCCATTCTGTATGTGTGAAACGGATTGTTCCTTCCTAAGTGGAGCACTTTGCATTTGTCCTTATTAAACATCATCCTGTTTACCTCAGACCATTTCTTCAGTTTGTCCAGATCATTTTGAATTTTGACCCTATCCTCCAAACTCCGCCCAGCTTAGTATCATCTGCAAACTTAATAATTGTACTCCCTATGGTATCATATATATCATTCATAAAGATATTGAACAGAACTGGCCCCAAAACAGACCCCTGCAGAACCCCACTTATGCCCTTCCAGCATGATTGTGAACCATTAATAGCTACTCTCTAAGAATGGTTATCCAGCCAGTTATGCACCCACCTTATAGTAGCCCCATCTAGGTGATATTTCCCTAGTTTATTGATAAGAAGGTCAGGTGAGACAGTGTCAAATGCCTTATTAAAGTCTAGGTATAACACATCCACCACTTCTTCCTTATACCAAGACTGGTTATCCTATCAAAAAAAGCTATCAGATTGCTTTGACATGATTTGTTCTTTACAAATCCATGCTGGCTGTTACCTATCATTTTATTTTCTTCCAGATGTTTGCAGATTAATTCCTTAATTACTTGATGCATTATCTTCCCTGGCACATAAGTTAAACTGACCGGTCTGTAGTTTCCTGGGTTGTTTTTATTTCCCTTTTTATAGACAGGCACTATATTTGCCCTTTTCCAGTCTTCTGGAATCTCTCCCGACCTCCATGATTTTTCAAAGATGATACCTAAAGGCTCAGATACCTCCTCTATCAGCTCCTTGAGTATTTTAGGATGCATTTCATCAGGCCCTGGTTACCTGAAGACATCTAACTTTTCTAAGTGATTTTTAACTTTTTCTTTAATTTTAACTTGTAAACCCTTCAAGTAGGAATAAGAGATCCTCCGGAAAAGGGCTTTATTCCGGAGGATCGCGCCAGTCTGGACGCTCTTTTCCGGCTTTTCCCCAAGCCGGAAAAAAAGCGGCGGCCATGTTTATTTAAATCCCGCGGGGGATATTTAAATCCCCTGCGCATTTCCCTATTCCAAAGTTATAAATTAGCATGGCTATTCCGAAGAAGGGGCCAGTGTAGACACAGCCTTTATGTATCTAGCTAGATTTAGCTCTTTCTGTGCCTTTGCCTTTCTAATCTTGCCCCTGCATGCCTGTGTTGTTTGCTAATATTCATCCTTTGTAATTTGACCTAGTTTCCACTTTTTATACGACTCCTTTTTGATTTTTAGATCATGTAAGATCTCCCGGTTGATCTAAGATGGTCTCCTGCCATATTTTTTATCTTTCCTACGCAGTGGAATAGTCTGCGTTTGAGCCCTTAATAATGTCCCTTTAAAAAACTGCCAACTCTCTTCAGTTGTTTGTCCTCTTAGTCTTGCTTCCCATGGGACCTCACCTACCAGTTCTCTGAGTTTACTAAAATCTGCCTTCCTAAAATCCATTGTCTCTGTTTTGCTGTTCTTCCTTCTCCCATTCCTTAGAATCATGGACTCTATGATTGCATGGTCACTTTCTCCCAAGCTGCCTTCCACTTTCAAATTCTC